TAATGCACTTCCCAACTTGATGGAAATTTTCTACCAGAACATGCGGATATTAACGGAGCACGTTTCATGGCGAAAAATATCGGCTGACACGCGTTGAAATCGATATATGGTTATCAAATGTGTCTAATTAATCTACCTAAAAAGAAAAAAGACTTCGCTCAACAGCAATATTATACATTTATAAATACAACATTAATGTAAAATCGTATTTATGCGCATACAACATTTCAATATAAATTAAACATCAGATTCCCTCTATACAGAAGAAAATTAATATGACGAAACATACGAAATCCGTTTGGATTCAGGGTTTGACATATTTTCCTCATATCATACAAATGTTGTTTTTGTCAAAGTGACATTACATTGAAATTATACGTAAAGCGTGGGCGAATAATTTTACGAACTGCGCAACGGAATCAAAGCTGTGAAAACGACGAAAAGAGTAAACTCGACGATAAGCAAAAGAACGGTATTAATTTTTAATTTCAAACTGAATCGTGTGTGACTCGATAAAAAGTAAACAATCCCGTAATTACCTGCTCGTTAAAAACATGTGCGAGCCACGAAAAGTAAATAACATAAAAACGAGTGAAAATTGATAAAATTACTATGAATAACTACTAAATTACTATAAATAAGTAAAAATATGCGAGAGAAAAGATAATATTTGCAAAGCAATATCCCACAATGAGCGTCGCACATTATTTAAATTCGTTTATTCGTTAAACGTGATATTTCATTAATGTCCGATAAAACTATTATCACATTCTTCTCTTCCTTCTCGTGTCTTCCCTTTTGTCTTTGTCATTTTACATTTTACGTGTTCTGTCACCAACGAATAAACATGGTGCTAATGATGTAGAGAGTAACGATATCCCCGACAGCCGATTCGACCGTAACGGTCGGCATTGAGCTTTCTATAATTTCACCTGGAGGGCCGCAGCGCCTTCTGCGCTTGACAACTTATATAGAATTGTGCTTACAAGAAATGCGGTGTACGCGTATGACTTAAACTCCGACGATTTACCCCGTTGAATTGGACAGAGCGAAAATTTCCGTCTCGCGGAATTTCAAGTACCGAGAATAGACGTCCGCCCCCGAGCGAGCGACTCCGCGGTTATTGTTGGTGCAAGGTTGAAGAATTTCAATGGAGGACGGCTCGCGTCTCGTTACGGATTCATCGTTCACTTTTTGTCCAGATGGCATTCCCCCGTGAAGCAGGTACATCGTTAGCACCGGCAAATCGAAACGAATGATCGTATCCTGTAGCTTCGTGCAAAAATAACGCTGAAAGCGCGAGCGTTATGAAAATGGATCATTTTTTAACAGGATACGCCATAAAAAGGCCGTCGTATATTATAGAATAAAGCATACATATATTATCCTAATGAGGAGAGGGAAAATGAGGAGAGGAGGAGCAGATACTCGCTCTTCTTCGTCTCTGTCTGTCGTTCAATTAGCGACAGTATCAATCTGACATTGCGCGATCGCTTGGTATCGCAAATAATGTTTGCAAATAATGCGAGAGACATGCGGAGGCCGAAAGGCCGAGAAATGAACTGCGAGAGATAAATTTAAACGAAGCCGCTTTGAAGATCCGCGAGATCACAAGAGTTATGCTCACGACGTTAGAGTACAAAACGGATGAGGCAAGTTTTGATCGTGTGCAGACCAATTATACGTCCGCATATATATCTGGTTGCGCGCACAGTAACGCTAATTACACTGTTTCTCTCTACCAGCGTGTATCCAGCCAGTAATTTATAACTCAGAAACAGGTCGTAAAGGGAATCGTTACTAATGACATCGTAAAACCAATACAGATGTCATATATTTAATGTACATTATCCCCACTCGGAGCGTCGTGTTCCGTGCTTCGATTTAAATCAAACCCCTACGGGTAAAATCAAACGGGAGAAGAAATAGTGCCGGCGACGAGAATCGACAAATAAAAAGATGAATTACGCGGCGGCGGCGGTGGCGGCGGCGGCGACGGCGACGTATCCCAAATCGGATATTGTTAAAACGTTGATTAAAGCGCACGCTTTATCCCCGAACAGTCGACTTTGGCTTGCAGTGTTTTGTAAAGCACTCAATGTAAAGCATTTCATTCGCGTGAAAAAGATGAATTGCGCAAGCAGCTCGATTCGCGGCTGAAAGAGGAGGGGGGAAATGGATGTCCGTGTGAATTGTGCAGCCGACAACGACTCTTCGTAAAAGCGATTCTTCGCGCCACGCGAAGGTCCACGAGCTCCGTTATTATCGCGGCATCATGGTAAATATCTCCTGCCGCGTCAAAGTCCGCGATAATGATATCGCCATGTTAATTGCCATAATACATGCCCGCTCGATCTTCCTCGCGCCGGACGCATTTTCCCGCGCGAACGAAAACTCCACGGATAAATCGAATAATCGGCCGGGCCGCGCGTGTCTCTCGTCGCAATCACTTTCGTAAGTAATCGCATTCGAATCGAAACATTCGCGCCGCGCGATGAAATTGCCGCGTGAGATCGTAAAGAAGTCGAGCGAGCCGAGCGAGAGTAGAAAATATCATTCCGCCGTGTGTACGTACACCCGCCGATTTCCGTTTGCTTCGCCGCTGTTTGAACGGGCGAGAAAAAAGAGAGAGGAGAGAAACCCGATCTCGAATCGTAATTCAAACACTCTCCGGAAGCACGGAATATTCATTCGAGTGTGCTCATTCGGCAACATTTACTCCCGCAGTGTCCCCGGCGCTGAAATCCGCTCGCAGCGGACCGCCATCCTTCTTGCATTGCTTCCGCCGAAAATTAGGAGCAGAAAAGGTTTCCGATGTTGCGGAAGAAGTTTCGCCGCAGAGCCCCGCGCGAAACCGCGCTGCGGAATTATGGAACGGATAGACGTTGGGACACGGGGATCGATTAATGGAGACCAGCCGCCGCGATGCGGTTTGGCGAAAAGTAACCGAAACTGCGACCGACCCTCAGAGCGCGGCGCGAGAACGGTTTCCGGCTCAAATGGAATTTCAAGCGTTTAACTGACAGCTGACGAATCTGCGGCACTGATGGTGTTTTAGCAGACAACCGCCAGCCGCATGCTAGAGGTGACATTTTTATCGAAAAGGATAAAGCTCGGGGGATTCTAATTTCCTTTCGATCACGATCTATCTATTTATGAGCGTCAAAGAGCCAAGTTAGAATCCGGAATTGTGAGGAAAATGTTCGATGCTGTATTTTTTACGAAATATCTGTGATGGTGGAATATAATATAAAAGAAGGATCTATAAGTAAAATGAATATTTCAATATTGTGCATTTTAAGACGCACATACATGTATAATTTTATATATATATATATATATATAGCTCTTTTTGAATTGCAGTATTTTACATATCTGATAACTAGCCTTGCAGGAAAATCGCTGCCATAGTCGCGCTCTCAGGTTCCTCTCGGATGAAACTTTATATTCTCTCAAGAGATAACAGTTCTTAGAATATATATTATTATTGTATAAATTATGAGCTTAGCATTTTATTATTATAAATTGTAAGTTTATAATTGTTAGTTTAACACGACAAAGTAAACTTTGTACGTAAAAATGTAATAACTTTTTTCTGAACAAACGTGATGATTGCAACTGCTGGGAAGAATTAAGAATGGTTTGAGTTTCAGCTTAATTTTATGGAAGTCGATAAAATGTGGTTCGAATCTTGGAAAATTTTACAGAATGTTTACCTTGTGACTGGCGAGGTAAAATTGTGATTTGAATCACGACTAAAATCTGCTTCATAACCAAGACTCGAACCATCCCAACCAATCTCGATAAAATTTAGCCGAGGGTAAATCAAGCGTTTTTTCTGAATTTTTAGAATTACATTCGATAATGTTCGTCAATTTACGTGAAATGGCACAATTTTCAAACGTTTCCCTCTGCTGAAACTGCTCCAAATTAACTGTTAATTTTTTTCAATTTTTTGCGACATTTTTATTCTCATTTTTATTTTCAGTGGAAGGAAAAATTCGAATGAGACGCCGTCTTATATAACGCGAAGAGTATCATTAAATGCAATTTCATTTATGAGATAATGCTAAAGACTGTCAGTCCTGGGTGAATTTTCAATTGGCCTCGAGGGCCTCGAGGGGCCTGGAGGTAATTCAAGAGTCATGACAATATCAACCGTTTCAGCTACACCGAGGATAACACAAACATTTGTATCTTTGTCTTGTAGAATTTATTTTTCAACTCTGAAGCAGAGAGAAGGGGAGAGAGGTAGTGTCCCTGGGAGTTTATAATTAACGTATATGTGTGTAAACATGAATCGAACTCGTTAAAAATACTCCGGTTTTATTTTTAATTAATTTTATTCGGAGGACATTTTCCTCCGAGGCAGAAATACGAAATTTTCCGGTGTAGATCGAGCGCCGGATACTTAATTATTTTATTGCGGACGAACAATTAATCCCAATTGGAATTGCATTCGGTAATATTCGAGGCAAATAGAATAAGACCACTCCTGAATTTTTCCACCCACCACAAATGCTTGAAAAAAATTAGCCTAATGGTTTTAAATTAAAGAAACAAATTTTTTTTTCAAACCCACAAATAGGCAATGGTGAGCAAGTATCGCACGATTTAATTTGTTGCACTCAGTTGATTACGTTTCTTACATAAATTACCGAGACACGGCAATATTGGAGCTGATGGTCACTGGTGGCCATGGCACACCACGGCAACAGAATCCCGACACCGTTAACAACATGTTAACGAGTGAAAAACCACCGCGTGGTGGTCGAGGCCAAATTACATTCATCCGCGGGTTCCTGAATCTCTCGGCCGGTCTCGCCGGCCAAGACCGCCGCCGCCGCCGCCGCCGCCGAGGCGGCGGCGATGGAGGCGGAGACGGGCGTTCGTTCGTTAACCGGAAATCGAGGCTCAAATCCAATATAGATCGATCAGTAAATAGACCGTGAGCCGGCACGAGAGCGTCGCTGGCTCGCGCTCGTAGTATTTGCAGCCAGCAAGCCCGCGGATCTTTGCCTTCTGGCAAAGCCTATCGTGACACCGTTTCGGCCGCATTGCGCCGGGCAACGGCCGGCCGGGCTCGCCCGCTTATTCCGCGTCGTTTGACCGGCGATTCCAGCCGTCTCTCGCGCGCCGTTTCGGCCGCAGTGAGTCCTTGGCCGCGTGCGTGCACACCACCCCGTGCACCCTTCTCTGCGACACGCAGCCGTGCCCCCGACTCGCTTGGAACTTGTACCTTCGCTGAGCCACGGCCACCCCCGGCGCGCCGGCAAGTAATACGCACACTGTTGGCCCACCTCGTCATATCGAGACACGACTTGTGCCTTGCTGAACACTTGAGACGATAGACACAGACACACACGTTGGTCTTCTCATGAGACTTCGAGGCTGCGGAAGAATCCTCTTCGACGACTTCCGCCATTGAGCAAGCCGCGCGAATACTTGGGGTCCGGACGCTCGGATGCGCCCTTGTTAAGGGCTACCGATCCTTTGTAACTTTTGGCTCTTTGTTTACTCTATCATTTGGGCTCTCAGTTGGAATCGTTTGTAATTGATTTGTTATCGCTTGTTAAGACTTGAACGTCGGCTCCTGCCCGCCCTGATTTCTTCTTTCTTTGTTCATGTTGACTGCTGTGTTCGGTGGCTTTTCCTAAGGGCTAAAGGAGACCGCTTGTCACGCGTCTAGTTTGAGCATTCATTGCGAGGAAAACACCGTGAAAGAAGGTCAGCCGGAACAACTCGAAGGGAATTAAAGGGACCCAGTTTCAGGACTGTTTATATGACGATTTTAACTGAACTAAACCTTTTTAACAAAACTTTCGTGTTCTTACAATCACCTTTCCTGTTTCCTGTGTGTGAAATAGCCCAAAACTCAGTCCGATAAGACGAGCATAAAGCTGAGCTCGGGACACATTTCGGGTCGTATTTATCGTCTGATTGGTTGAATCTTCAATCGAAGGTAGGATTACGAGAGGGATATATGTACAAAATTATTTTGCACTGTTTGCTAAATCTAGCGATCCGAATCCCTACGTCCGACTCGATTTTCTCCTATTTGCCTCGAGTGTAGTTTGCGCGACGGGATTTACGTAACTCTCGGACACGGTTCTCTCCGCAGCATACCAGCGCAGTGGGAGAGGGCCGCTTTGTAGGATTCCTTTCCTACCGTGCCTTTCAGAACAAATATACACAAAACGCATGACCAACATGACCTTTGGATCAACTTGACCCGGTCACCCCTACATAGCCCGGGTTCGTGGGGTGACCAGACACGGTTGCGAGGAAGAGTTCGTGCCGGTCGTCGTCGGTGGCGATTGTTCGCACGGGCGAACTTCTTGCAGAAAAAAAGGGAAGAGAGCGAAAACCGTTCGGTTGATCTCGCGGCTGAACTGATTCGGCGCTTGTGTGAATACGTTCGATCGGCGCACACCAGAGTCACGGAAGTTCCATGCACGATGATGCTCCGAGGAAGGTCCTTATCGTTTGATTCGCGGAAATGTTAGATTGATTTCGAAAGAGATTCACGATAACCCAGAGTCACGAACGAAATTGCAATCGGAAACTCGCGTTTCCGCTAGCGGAATCACAAGCAGTTCCGTGATAGCTCCTCACAGGAGTCGAGACCGATGCAATTCCGACGAGTTCGAGCCCCTCGATGATGCGACAGCTCCGACGGGAGGTCGCAACAATTTCGATCCGGTGCGCGGAATTTACGAGCGAATTCTCGATCGTAAATCTCCCTGTCTCACCCCATCCGCCGCGTCAAGAAGCGGAGTTAGCACGATGACTGCCGCTTAGGAGTGACACCTAGGGTGCCTAGGGTGCCATTCAGAGATAACGCTTAAAACCATAATGATCTTGCTTTACTCCTGGCTTAGTTAAGCCTTCGATAGTCTGGCCTGTTCATGGACTAAGCTCTGTTATTCAGAGACATTTTTCTTCTAACTTTAGTGTCCGGACTACATCAAGTCTTTTAACGCGTCAAATAATCGTATTTATGACTCGTCAGGAAATTTACAAAAAAACAAAGTTCTACGGAAAAAAAAAAAAAAAAAAAACATAAACGAATATTATTTGAATATTATCTGACGACGTTTGATTTCGCCTCACCTCGCTAGCCGATTAAAGTTCACTCGTCGACTCGAATCCTACATTTGCGATTTATGATGGCACTTATTTATAAACGGTTACCTTGGCAGCTCGCGCAATCCCGAGAATCGTTGACCTCTCTTTCTAAATCGTGCATATTCTCGTGATTTATCGCGACGGTATATTTATCGTTTACCGTTGCATCGGTAAACAACGCAGAAATAGCGCTGCAAATATCCTGTGCTTGTAAAAATCCTGTATCCGGCATCCGTGTTGTCCGTTCACGTTGCCAGTATCCCGATATATCTGAAAACACTACGCAGTTTAAGTACGTAAGCAAAATTCGAGAGACTTCGAGCAAATTTCGTTCCTCACCGAGCGAAGAAACTTGACTTGCGTCATAAAATGTTCAAATTAACGAACAAAAATTCCTGATAATTTGAGGTCGATCTACTTACTCGTGAGACAATGACAAAATTTTGTGGGGAAAATTGTTGATGGCTGATAACCGCTTACTTTTGCCGATCGATGGTATTATTTGCAGCTTAAAATGAAAAGACCGAGACGTGTTTTCTTAGATGTGAAAACTCCGAACTTTACACTCGCTCTTTTTTCCTGTCCATTCTATTCACGGGTCGGTTGCGTAAACCTCACGAAAGCTTTCTCGCGTAGTCAAACCTACCGAATGTGATTTTAGATGTAGAGCGACATGGCAATCAGCATAAAATTCACAAAATTCGACAACACGCCATGGGGCTTTCGATTAGCGGGCGGGAGCGATTTTCCACAGCCGCTTACTGTTATCAGAGTAAGTCTTTTTATCTTCATCTCACTTATCAGCATTTGTCGGTATCGATGAAATGTGATTACGACGAAAACGATACGATCATTATTCTTACACAGCCAGAAGTTAAGTAATTTTGTCGATCAACGTAACTCTGTTTTATTGCGTATCTAAATTGTTGTCGTATCTTTTTGATAGAATTTGTGTAAAAAATTAATTAAGCAGAATTGAGAGAGATCGAGGATAGTATATAATTGGGATCTATGAGAGGGTCAAAGCATAAAATGCAGAAATAATCTACAGGTCACGGAAGGCAGCCTGGCCGAATGTATGGGTTTAAAGGTCGGCGACGTCGTTGTAAGATTAAACGACCAGCCGATCAGCTGCTTAACTCACGGACAGGCGCATGAGGCGCTCTTGCACGCTGGCAACAACTTCGTTCTGGGTGTGCAAAGGTAAGATGTGAAGCATTGGAATGCATTTGTTTCTTTTTTTCTATCATCAGAATCGTTAGTGCAAAATTTAAAAAAAAAATTGAAATATTTAATGTTTCAAGCAAAATTATTAAAAATTGTTCAGCACTGGAGGGCAGAGTATTTCCTACACGATCAAACAGATGCGTAAGCTACGTTTTCGGACAATTGCACTCTCACACATGTTTCTAAAAAGCATTGTTTATAACAACAAACAATTAATTAATTGTTTTTCTATGTCAAACAGGATGAAAGCACGTGTGTCAAATTTGCGCACAAATTTCTCTTTCGCATATTAATCCTCCGGCACGATTTGCTGCAGAGCGCCAAGTGTTGCTCTTTCGCGGCGAGTTTCACTCGGATTGAAAAAAAAAAATAACAAAAGCTTCTAAACATTTATTATAGCTTTTAAACGAAAGAAGATAAAATACTCAAGCAACGACTGTTAATCTTCAGATATCGGACCGCAACTCGCTTAACGAAACTCGCGTGACTCGAGGATTCGAGGACGACAACGTTATACACGTGTATTATATATTTCGAATCGATCGATTGAAACGTGAAGCGAGATTGCCGATTGGCAACATCCTGCCGACACGATTGGCTCTTAAAACAAAGATTATCGTTATTATAACCTTCCGCTCTTAATAGACCGCGAGGATTGCTCAACGAGCCTCACACGACGGTAATACGAGTGACAGCTCTATTTTCGGTCGATCGATTCAAATGCATCGACAGCTGCTGCCTCATCGCCGTCGGCGCGTATCTTCGTTGCGAAAGACACCTCGTGACGATGTTCATCTCCGCGATGAAGGTACCCCGCTGACAAGGCGAGAGACGGGGCGGGCGAACGTGAGGGCGGAAGTGCAAGGCGGCGCGTGGCTGTCGCGTCACGACTCGATCGCGATCGTCGTGCGTGTCGGGTTTATCAGGCGGAGGATGCGATCTCGTGTATATTTCACACTCGGGGAATTTGCGCGGCGCAATACGCGGCCTGGCGGCGAATTTAGCGAGAGGAGAGCGCCCGACCGCGCCTAATGATGCGCGCACGCTCGCGTCATTCATCGCCGGGCCCTCATATATTCGACTAATAACGCCGCGACGCGGCTTTAAGGGGCGAGAATATCCACCGTCGCCGTGTGAGCTCTGCGTATGTGGCAATGTATTGCGAAAACCTATAAATAGGTGACCCAGAATGAAAGATGTTTATCATTGGTCGGCGGTTTTATCGCTTGGGCCGTTTCTCCCCCGTCGTTGCACGTCGTTTCTTCGCACTCTTCTCCTTCTCCCTGCTCCTCTCCTCTCTCTCTCTCTCTCTCTCTCTCTCTCTCTCTCTCTCTCTCTCTCTCTCTCTCTCTCTCTCTCTCTCTCTCTCTCGTTCTCTCTCTCTCTCTCTCGTTCTCTCTCTTTCTCTCTCTCGTTCTCTCTCTCTCTCTCTCTCTCTCTCTCTCGTTCTCCATCTTCCTCTCGCAATTGGGCTCGGACTCGGTGGAGCGCGTCTCGCATCCTAAAAGCAAATCGCGCACTCGGTGCACCCGTGTCCGCGCATAATTCGAGCAGCCGAGAGTGCATAATTTGAGCCGAGCCGGTCGGCGCATTCGCCGCTGCCGCTGCCGCCGCCGCAGCCGCCGCCGCCGCCGCCGTCACAGTCGCCACAGCCGTCGCGTACACGCCGGAGAAAGTCCTATTTTCTTCTTGGTCGCTGTGTGTTGCTTGCGCAGAGAGGAAGAGGCACGAAAGGCCGCCGAGGCGATATCGGAAGAGAACATCGTTCCATATAAAATCGCGGTGAGTATCCACGAGACGAAAGGTGAACAGCGAGGTAGTCATGCTCTTTTCATCGCCGAGCGGGATTTCGCGGCACTTTTTTGCGACACTCGAACTTTTCGCGCGCACCTCGCCAAGGTATCCAGATAGAGCCGAAAATCGCAACGTCGAAGACGTCGTGACGAGAAAATTCGAGTCGAACGATAATTCTGCTAGAAATCGATCGGACGCGTACAGGAAGATTGCGCGAAGATGAGAAGAGTTTTAATATTCCGTTAGTAGCGTGCAACTTGATGGACTCGTGCGACGGTGAAGAAAGTAAGAATGAGCGAAAAGTAAATTTCTATTGTTATCTTCTCGGCATTCTCTCTCGGCACGTCGTGCCGATTTTCTGTTCCACCTGGCTTCCACCCGGCCGGTGTTTACTCCGAGAGCGCGATTACTTTTGCGGACGTTTTCGAGAGTCTGCAGGGAAAGACAAGGGGAAAAAGGATGATATATTCTTTCCCACCGAGCCGAACCCGAGACTTGATTTTTTATTTATCGTTGACTCGGTTAGTCTTTAGTATGTCCCTGAGAATATTCGGCAATTCTCACGCAATGCTCACGAGGAATTCCGGTGAATTCCTCGTGATTATGAATACGTTCAGGAGTGAAAGATCCTTTGCCACTTGGCTAGGTGAAGCCTCCTCGTCCACGTTGGGGGAAATCTTTGGTCTGAAATTTGCATGACATTTGGAGAAATATGGTGAACCAGAGAAAGTGGCGGCGATGATGACGTCGAGCCTGCTTATTAGCTTGCAGACTTACCGCCGCTCTTCCCAGAACAAATCTTGAAGGAGGAGACAGTGATCGAGCGATACGAAGAGGAGACCGTCGAGCAAATCGCGTCCGCCGAAGACGAGGTCAGGCAAGAGGAAGAGAAGCTCGCGGAGGAGAAACCGGTGGACGCCGACAGTGAAATCGTGCCGAACAAAAATCTCACGGATGACGAGATCGCGCAGCTGATCCTCGAGGAGGAGGAGCTTCTGTCCGATCAGGGATTATTGGGGTACATTTTCACGATCGCCTTTATTCGTCACGGCCACCAGTGAAATTACACGGAACGAGATCGTCAGTGTACTTTCCCTTCACCGTTTTTTTCATTCACCAAATCTGCCGGCGACGATTTTCCCGGCGATTATAATCGAAAGCATCCCGAGCAGCAGTCGGTGTCTCCAGTGAACTCGGTCGCATCCTTCAGGAATTCTAGGAAATATTTCCGGAATAAAGAGGGCGGCAGGCTTTACGTTGAACTTTTAAAAGCCCAAAACCGCACGAAATTAAGAATCTCGAATTGATACTATTTTAAAGGTCTATTTTAAATAATTAACCGTGTGACTTCTGAATTTTAGTCCAACATGAAATCTACCGTATCTATCTTTTTATTCCAGAAATATTACCAGAATTTCCAGAGAATATCTCGACTTGCCAATCGTTTTATTCTCTCAGCTATTCGTTCTTTTTCTTTTCTATCGAGTTAGTGTTCCTATTCCGGATGCAAGCGAACATTAGATGTGCTTTTTTAATTTCAAACTCAATTTCTCCGTGACGATTTAACTTTCCGCACGCTCCATCTCATCGACAGGGTGAACTTCAAGAAGCTCCGCCCGCGCGCCTCGATCTTGAAGGGCTCCAAGGTGCTGGAAGAGCTGCAGAACATCTCGACAGCCGAGCCTGAGCGGGTGCAAGAGTTGAAGCACACCTCCACCTTCCTGCGGAAACCGCAACGACCGGTACCGAAGCCAAAGAGCCAGCCAACCGAAGAGGACGACGGCGAGACCTACAGGGTCGTGATCAAGAAGCAGGACAAGAAGACGGTGATCGCGCGTCTCGTGGAGAAGGGCCTGCTGCCGTCAGGATCGGGGATTCCCAAGACACCCGAGCCACCGTACGAGGTAAACATGCATGAAACGAAGAGCGATCTCAAGGAGGATTGTCCTGAAATCGACCCGAATCCCTCGCGTTCCACCTTGTCCTCCGACACCACCGGCGACTTGTTGTCTCCGCATTTCGATACCAACGAGATGCGTCCACTCGAAGCTCAGATGATACATGCCGCGTCCGCCAGTTCGGAGCTCCCTCATGTGGGACCGAGTCCCCATCGAGCATCCATCGGCGAGCTCGCTCAGAAGCCTGTGAGGAGATCGAGTATGTGTGCGCGAGCGCACTACGCCGAAAGGATTCTCCTCGAAAAGGTCAATATCTTCGGCGAACAGCCGCTCTCGGAGCCACCGCGGGCGAAGAAGAGCCGCGTCGTGTCGAAGCGCAAAGCCCGGATGAGGGGCAAGTACCTGGCGACGTATTTGAAGCGCGAAAGCGCCCGTCTCATCTCCCTGCTGACGACATTATTCCAGTTCCTGCGGAAAGCAGACGTTTCAGAGCCGAGCGAAGCGTCGAGGATGCGCCGGCGACGCTCGAGCGTGAAGGGCTACTACCTGGAGCACGTGCTCCAGAAAAACGTCGCTCCCATGCTCCAGTGCGTCAAGGAAACCTGCCTCGTGGCACCTGCCGATCACTATCAGGAGATCGACAGCGCACAGAAAGACGAGCCGAAATCTACCAGGAACTTCAAGGTCCATGAGCTATTCGTCGAGTACATTCGTAAGGTCTACGGATGGCTAGAGAATGGCTCGTCTTCGCGGAAAGAATCTGCTGTGGTCACTTTTGACGACTCGGACGAATGGAAGGAAAATCGCAGTGCCTGCGTCGTCAAGTTTGCCGAAAAAAATCCTTCCTCCACCACTAACGCTTCCGATAGTCCAATCGTAATCGAAGAAATAACTGACGAGAGTGAACGCGACGTTCCCGAATGCGAAGACTTTATCGAGGGTTCCAGCTCTTCACAAATCATAGATACAGTTCCCGAAGAGGAACACGCGCTCTCGCAATTCCTGCAGTCGACCGAAGACTACATCTCCGCCGAGGTGTTTCACCGCGGCCACAGGAGACTTTCCAAGCCTCGGAAATCCATAGACGTCATCCCTAAAGAAGACAAGGATGGTTTGTCCAAGATCCTGCAGTCGACCGAGGACTACATCTCCAGCGAGGTGTTTCATCGCGGCCACAGGAGACTTTCCAAGCCTCGGAAATCCATAGACGTCATCCCTAAAGAAGACAAGGATGGTTTGTCCAAGATCCTGCAGTCGACCGAGGACTACCTCTCCAGCGAGGTGTTTCACCGCGGCCACAGGAGACTTTCCAAGCCTCGGAAATCCATAGACGTCATCCCTAAAGAAGACAAGGATGGTTTGTCCAAGATCCTGCAGTCGACCGAGGACTATCTCTCCAGCGAGGTGTTTCACCGCGGCCACAGGAGGCTCTCCAGGACCCGTAAGTCCATAGACGTTATTCCTAAAGAAGACAAGGATGGTTTCTCCAAACTTCTGCAGTCGACCGAGGATTACATTTCTAGCGAGGTGTTCCATCGCGGCAGCAGGAGGCTCTCCAGACCCCGCAAGTCCATAGACGTCATCCCTAAAGAAGACAAGGATGGTTTCTCCGAACTTCTGCAGTCGACCGAGGATTACATTTCCAGCGAGGTGTTCCATCGCGGCAGCAGGAGGCTCTCCAGGAGACTGTCCAAGGACTCGGATCTGGAGAACGGCGCATTGTCGGATCTTCTTCGCTCGACCGGCGACTACGTCTCCAACGAGGTGTTCCATCGTAGAAGCAGGAGGTTGTCCAGGGCGTCCAAGAAGGACCTGCCGTGCACGGGACCTATCTGGTGGGACGGGCTGAAGGGTATGCGTCTGAGCCTACCATGGTTCTCACTCAGGGTCACCGACGAGAAGAGCACGGAGCACGCTGATGTCTGCACGGAGAAGATCGACCCCGAGATTGAGCACGACAGTCGCAGGCTGTCGTTCGTGCCGACAATCCTCTATCAGGGTATCACGAATCGCATCGGCGTCGACTTCACGAGGCTGGTGGCTTACGCCTTCGTGCCCTGCACCTCGATCGTTCTGCTCTACTTGTACAAGTAGCCGTCTACCGTGCGACGACGTCCGTGCCTGATCTGAACGATTGAGCGGTACCCAAACGGACGTTACCGATGCAATGAGGCGTTAGTCTGTCTAATCTTGGAGCTTAGCGCACGATATCTACATGAGCACGGCTGTATTCAGGCTGAAACGAGCATCTTGGAACTCTGATTGCGCCAGACCTCTTATTGTAATCGCGGCCTTGACATGTACACTAATCGGCAGCGTAGTCTTAACTTGAGGCAATGACGGAGCTCTTCATTCTTAACCGATTCGATTCCAAGGAGCAGAAATTCGGTTCCCTTCGACCAGAACGCGTTTGCTCCGTTCATTGTCGTGTTGATTCGAGCAGTACTTTTTCATCGTGTATTAAAGTACTAATTTTTACTTCGCAAATATTTTATAGTTTATCGGTGTTGTTCAGTAATATTTGTCAGAGGTTTAAATACTGTAGTTTCTTTATTAGGCTTGCTTATAATTGTGCTGCGTGTTGTGGCCATTTTGCCGGTTGGTGTATGTGTGTATCACCACATGTGGATCATCCGTCGACGTGCCAATGAGTGTCTCATGTGTAATACGCGCTCGAACTTCACCCTCTGTGTAACCACGTGTAGCATGCTCTTTCTCTCTCTTTCTCTGTTTCTTCGTTACTAGAATGAATTAGCCAGAGTGACTTTGTCGTACAGAAGTAGTCTGCGCAAATGTAATTAACTCCTTCACGTAATTGACCTCCCAATGATGTGAAATGTGATTAAAGATAGTAGATTACTGAGTTGTTGAAACTGATTATTTGTACTCGAACCTCTCTCCTTATATGTCGATATATGTTGACAACTTAACGTTGAGAATTCAGTACAGTGACCACTTTCAACCTGGGACCTTCAGTTTCGCCCGAAACAAAAAAAAAAGACAAAAAAAATGATTTTCTTCGAAGAAAAATTATTCCGGAAAGGTAAGTACATGTTTAACATTCTTCAATGCTTTTCTATTGGAATATCTGTTACCAGTTAAATCCCAATCATTCCAAATAAAAGAAAAACATTTTAGCGACAGGAGTGACAGGATTCAGGCAGTATGTTCCTCGATACGGAATCCTATCATAATTTTTACTATAAAATTCTTCCCGTGTACGAAACAGCTAAGCAGTGCTAAAAAAGAGTCCAAACATTTCCATAAGTTTTTAACCCTTAAAAGCTACTGTCAAATATCTAGCTAATTTAAAAGCTAATTTTTCTTGTTATTCTTTACAGCAAAATATATTTGCGAGAATTGATCTGTTTTATCATAATGTTATCGTTACTGATAAAATGAATAAATACCTATAAAAACCTATAAAATTACTATTGTCAATGTGGTTTTTTAATAGGATCAAAAATCCGCATGGGGTGAGATTTCACCTATGGTAGCGTTTAAGGGTTAATTTCGATTGATTGGCTCTCGTTAGATTTCGCAAGAGCTTCTCGCAAAGAGTTTCTTCTCCACGCTTTCCCGCCGCTGAAACTGTCGCGTCTCTTCTGATCCAGACCAGCAGCCCGATCGCGACACCGGAACCCACGTGCACAGCGGAACTGGAAACAAAGCCCGACTCGCGTCCCGCGTCGAAGGCCGAGGGAGAAAAGAAGAGCGAGCTCGACGAGAGCAAAACGAACGAGAGATCCGAGGGCGCGAGTAACGAAGAGGAAGATCGCGGTGCCGAGCATCACACGGCGGAGGAGACTGCCGTCGGGGAGGATTCGAGCATTTCCGGCAGACAGACGACGGATTCGTCGACTGACGCGGTCGACAACGAGAAGATCAAGAAGCTGGTGACCACTGAGATCAACCTTGAAAAGCAGCTGGAGAACGTGCAGCGGCAGTTGCTCGCTCTCAAGCGGCTACCGAGCGAGATCGAGAATCACCTGAGAATCGTGTCTGATCAACTGCACATGATTATGGAACTGAGTGGTGTACGATCCCTTGGCAACAGAAACGGCCAACAACGCCGCGATGACTCGTCAGGTGACCGAAATTCGTTGTAGTCGAAATAGCCAGCGCCAGGGTGGACCTTGACGAGTATCAGGTTCTCTCTCTCTCTCTCTCTCTCTCTCGTTCTCTCTCTCTCTCTCTCTCTCTCTCTCGTTCTCTCTCTCTCTCTCTTTCTCTCTCTCTCTCTCTCTCTCTCTCTTTCTATCTCGGAGAGACCGGCATATTTTCGAGTTTCGTCGTTACGCGATTCTGAACGGTTGCCAATTCAGGCGCGCAAGTCGATCTCTCTTCCTCTCTCTCTCTCTCTCTCTCTCTCTCTCTCTCTCTCTCTCTCTCTTTCTCTTTTCCGTAGGTTGAAATTAAATCGCTCAACCGAGTAATTGATGAGCCGAGGGTTTATTTCGCGAGGAATACTCTGACCGACGTTGTGACGAAGAACGAGATCTTTCGAGGCAGGAAAAAGTTGAGAGAAGATTGATTTTTGTTGAGGAAAGTTGTTGAGAAAAAAATAATCAGTAGAATAATTATTGAGTTGAATTCATGACATTCATTTCGTTGCATCAATTTCAGTATTATTTTTTTAATAATCAGGAAGATTATTTAATATAAAAATAACCATCGATACTTTTTAAGTACTTTCAATAAATCTTTGCTTTGGATTTCTCACACAACTGTCTCCTTTTTTATGAAAATTGCAGTATGACTTATATTCGGATCGATTTTAAATTCTGTATGTTATTGTTATTATATACTTTTGTTATTATATACTTGATTAAGTATATGGGAAAAAATTTTCCGCTCTTACAAAAAAAAAACAGGAAAAAATAAGATTGATATAAATATTGATTTAAATGACGTTTAAATTTCTAATAGATTTTGAATCAGACTTCGATGTTGTTTTTCTTCTCTCGTATAATCTTTCGACTTGTTCTACATAGAAGAGGACAACACGCCGCGGAGGAACAATGAGGAGTCGAGGGAGCAGGAAGAGGATACCGATGAAGCGGACGAGGAGTTTACAGAGACTTACGACTACATCGAGGAAATTGCATGTTTGGAACGGAAGACGTCGTCGAGGTCGACGCCTCAAGTGATTGAGCCCAGCGACGACGAAGGGGAAATGGAGGACGAGGAGGAGGTCGAAACGAAGGAAATGGATGGGACGATTTCTGTGAAGAGCGAGGATGAGGAGGGAAGTAGGATAAAGAAATTCATCGTGTCTTACGAGACCAAACTGCTGAAATCGCCGAGTCCAGCACCGTCGCACGGTAAATGTCAACGATGCTTTACGTTTATACGCTGACCTCTGGCCCTATGCCGGTCTTGAAATATTCTCAGACGCAGTAATTGCTTGCCGGATAGGCGAGCGACGAGATATACGTAATACCACATGCTAAAGTCTCGTCGCGATAATAAAGGACATTTGGCGACGTTGAAGTTCCGAAGGTCCTCGCAGCACGCGCGCGCGACATGGACGCGACATGTCGAACATTGTAAAATATATATTGATACTACGTTGTAGGTAGTTTCGAAGCAGATCTGAAACTGTCGCCAAAAGACCAAGTAATACAGGAATTGCAGGTATAAGCCCGGATAACCGGAATGACGCATCTTGTGTTCCACCCGGAATGAAATAACTATCGTCCCGTTTCGCCTCCCGTTTACTTGTGTTACTCGTAACACCGAAAATTAGTAGAAGTTGCGGAATCGGAATGCGTGTACAGATTTCTGTAGCCGTGCTGAAAAGCCTCATATAAATGTCTACAGACCCTCTTGTTTGACCCTTGCGATTACTCTTCGTCGTCCCCTTTGACTTTCGGAGTTTGTGTTTGTAAATTCGTCCATTTTCTTCGGAATCGTATCGAGAATACCTTCTCTCGCGATTAATAAGGGTTCCTTTTCTCGAATAATACGAAATCAATTCTTATTTTATTAGACGAGTACACGTCGTTGATGACTAATATTATACATAGAACTAAAAAATTTCCTCGAATTTCCCAGCACAATTTGCCAAAAGAATTGTAAACATATATGTTATCAGTAGAGAAACGTTACGTTAAAATTTTTCCAAATCAGTAACCAACGTTCCACTGTCTTAAATGGATCCTTTGGTATGCATATAGAAAAAACCCGCCATTACATTTTGTAATTTTGCGATCGATGCATGACGGGAGCGATCGAGGCCAGACAAAGTCGTTGAGTAGTCACGATTCACATTTCAGCAAAGAATACACAAGAAAGGCCGAAAGCACTCGCAGGAACTCTGGCCCCAGGCTAAGCAGCTCGAACTCACGCGTGGCCGTAGATGGAGATGCCCGAATGATTTCTTCAACGACGAAATGATCGCGGAAGTGTTATCCTCGCAGGCGGAAGTTATTCGCGGCAGAGCGTTGGGGTAAGAACGATCTCGCGATTCGAGCCGAAAGGGAGCCTCGAACCGACTAAATCAAATGCGCGTTCGCGAATAAAAGTCCTAAGAGAACGCTAGGATTCCTCAGCGGAGGGATTTCAGTTGAATTAATCGACCGGTTGCGTAGGGTGAACTTCAAGAAGTACGAGAAGACGAACCTGCCGAATTTTGACCACCTGATGAACTCGAGCGTTTACAAGATGATTCATAAAATGGAGCGAGAACCAAAGAGGGGCATACCCGCCAGACCCGCTAAGGTCAACGCAGCGGAGGACATAATGGAGAGAGTCGTAAGCGTCCCTTTGTCTCGTTTCTCGCGTCATCTTTAACGAACGTCGAATGAAATCGGCCGAACGATTCAATCGGGAAAGGAAATTTAATTCTGCTCTTCAATTAATCCCGAGAAAATCTTGAATTTAGGGGAACTATGTGACCTTGATCTTGATTAGTATTACGAAGGTCACTCTTTTGAATAATTTTCAGAAGATTTTAGCCGTCGTTCATTGTTTATTAAAAACTTAATATTATTAATTATTATATATATATATATATTGCAATATTATTAACTATAGAGCCTATTTTTTAATGTACACTGTGTCGGAAAAACAAGCTCTATTTATAAAATTTCTTTTGTTAACTTTTTAACAAATAATAAACAACGGCTAAACTCTTCTGCAAGTCATTCAGAAGAGAGTGACCTTTATAAGACAAGATCACAGAAAGCGTCTGGGTCTCCCAATATAAAGGTTTACCCGACCTTGTAATCAATGTTCCACGACACTGTTTCAGAAATCACCGGCATTGAGCGTTGTAGATGACAGAAGCACTCGGAGTATCAGTCACTAAACAATCGCAATCATATAGAAGATCACAATGTGTATAATGTCATAGTTATACATGAAATCTATGTGCCTGAATACGATATAGGAGAACACAATTGTACCCGGTGTACCGATTGCGCCCGAAAAATATTGTCGCACGATCATCGAAATTGTGGTTGTAAAATATCTGCAAGCACTATGTGCGTGTATGTGTGTACGTCGAAATTGCGCGCATCAATAAAATACTCCTTATAAGAAGAAACGAGAAATCCATTTTCGAACTTTGTGACGAGTACTTCGTTGCTGCCGGATATCCAAAAACTGTCTGTCCATCTATAAACATGAACACGCACGAACAAAGTAACCGATAGTGAAGTGAAATTAGAGTTGGGAAAGTTTCCACACATGTCTGAAAGACTTCTAAAAGAATAAGAGCTCTGAAGGTCTCCTCTTCCGACTCGTTGCCATTCACAAGAAAAACTAAGATTATACACACACATATACATATGAAATTGTACATTCGGGGAAAATTGTATCTCGGGACATCAACACGATATTTGAATTTCGACTTATCGGGAACTTGTCCAAGTTCCCGAATTTCTCAAGATTCGGATTTTCCGAGACAACTCATGCCCGTCTCCCGCACAGCGCTATGCACCGCTGTGCATTTCCGCCGCTCCTGCGGCGCAGGAGACGAGCGAGCCGATCACCGAGGAGCTCCTCAAGTGCGCGCGATGATCGAAGTCGACCTAGAAAGGTGACTTTCCGAGTAAACGACCGCAAGCACCGCGCTCACTCGGAAATCCGCGGCTGGACTTCGCGGATGAGTCGGGAGTCATACTTTCTCCTTTCCGGGGTTCCCGGGGGCCCCTCTGCCATCCTCCGCGTCTCGTATGCGTACGACTGGCTGAGTCACGTCTGCCTTCCCGGCCGGTGAACTTACTTCATATTCTGCCTCTCCCCTCGACCCTCTCTCGCGCTGACTCACTCCCTCTCTCTCTCTCTCTCTCTCTCTCTCTCTCTCTCTCTCTCCTCCTCTCTCAGGCTCTCGCTCCTTGCGCTTAGGGTCCCCGATCGTGACGTCGGCCTCGAGCAATTTATGTAAAGCATTCTAGGCATGATTCACGAACTAGTTCGCGCCCTCGTGACCGCCACCGGCGCAGAATGCAGCCGCTGCGCTCGGCAGCGCGGAGAGCTCGAGCGCATCCGCCGATGCGCGCACAGCCTGTCGCTCCTTTTTTTCCAGATTCGTCGCGGGTTCCAGATTACACGCCAATTGATCGTACGTGGACACTCGGGGAAATGCATTCGCGGAGAATGACAGGCCGCAATGTTCGAAGCCAGAAGGCAGAGGAACGAGCGAAGAAACGGAGGGATAAACAAGAGGAGTGAAGAGAATAATGTATTCGCGCGCCATATTGTATTCGAGAGATAGCGAATTGGAATCAATAATTCCCGCGCGGAACGTGTAAAAAAAAAAGTGCGCGTTACTGCCCATGAATAGTGAATGAGAATGATTCGACGGTGTCAATTCAAGCTGGTAACCTGCCGGCTGCGATCAATTTCGAGGCAGTTCTATATTTAATATGCAAATTCCCCGCAGACTTTTGTGCGTGTTTTATTGGGATTTCGGCTGTGTGGAACGGAGGAGCGCACGCACAACAAATCCACGCTTAAAACTGTCGAATCGATTTTCTCAGCTCAGAACGGCCGGATATTCTTTTAAAGTCACTCACGCAAAAACGTTTCAGTGTGTCGAGATATTCAAAGTGTGAAAATAGTTTCGCTGAATCAAGGTGTGCGAATAAGTCGGAGCGCGACCGCGTGGCAGGCTCGAAAGCATCTTACAAGGAACGAATGTTAATCCTGAGACAGACGCCGCATTGGATCGTGTCAACAAAGGTCAAAGGTATCGTTTCTTCCGCGTGCCTCGCACGAAGGACACTTCGCGGATTACTATCTTTTTACCTCCGCCGCGCGCGCCAGGAAATCGAGGGAGTCGCGAGATTCTTTCGCCGACATAATTCACGCATGTCGTCGAGGCGCGTCAATTTCGCTAAATTCATGTCTCTGATTGCCGAGACCTAACGACACGAGGCATGCGACAGCACGCCGGGATTTCTTTAATGAGTTTCCATTCATGACCTCGCACGACCTATCAACAACGATGACTTAAGCCCACTCCGCTGCCACATCGGAAAGGGACGTGTTCCAGGCAGAAAAAACGTACCTGCATCTCTCCGCATTTGAGAGATCATTGTTATGTGCCAACACGTTTTAACACATACAGGGTGTCTGACAAATAACAATGTAACGCTTGCGCGCAGGCAAGCCAAGAACTCGATAGCCATGCAGACAACTTGATTAACAATCTCACAGAATTGATTTATTCGCGACATCCTCCTATCTAGTGACGAGTATTCGTAGCTTGCTACATCTTCAGATATAAATTAGTTTGTGTCAACAACTCCGGTGGGGCCTCAAAAGACTTCTAAATAGCTTCTCAGTATGCTCCGAACGATCGATAAGTATACATCTCAAGTGTTCGCAGAGAATTTCGTTATTTCTGCAAAGATACTCTTGTACGTTGCTTTTACGTTAAGAATTGCAGAAAACATATCAGCAATAATCAATTCCATCTAAATATCGATATGTTCGTATCGTATTTACCGGAGGCAACTGACGAATATTTCATCTCTCGTTGTAATAATTTTTTCTGTCCAAATATTTGTCACGTTTGCAAGAAACAGGAAATTACTATAAAATTTACGTGTGATCAATGTAAAATGATCTCTTACTGCGGCGAGAAGCACAAACAGATGCATTATACACAACATATGGAATTCTGCGCAGTCATACAAAAGTTGTTAAAAAGTTACCCTTACTTTTGGGCCACTTTGGAACTAAACCTAGAGGACTGGATCCAATCGAGGAAAGAACTGGTACATTTAACCAAGCAAGAATTATCACGTGCTCTAAAGCCATATGAAGAACAAATGATCACGTTGGCGAAATCGTGTAATATTTGTCGTCGACAAGAGGATCTCATTTCTTGTTGGCGGTGTTTTTCGGCCAACTACTGTCCTCATCATATAGACGATATTCAAAAACACAATTGCCAAGAACTACGTTTATGTTATCATATTGATTATAGCACGACATTCTCTTTAGAAAAACTGGAGCGTTTGCTTTTGTTTCCTAAGCAAGATGAAACCATTTTTGATATGGAATCATTTATCGTAAAGTATTTATCAAACAAATCGAAATATTTATGGGGAATGTTTGGTGATTTTCCTCATTTCTATTCTGATTTTGTATCAGGACCGTTGACACTGTATTACGGTATGCAAAATGTAAAATTATTGAATCTTCTGCGCCCACGCAATCGCTATTGCGTTATTCATATAATGGCTGCAAACTATATTGATAAAAAATATTTACCAGCTTGGGAATTTATTTTGCATCTTTATCCCGTGATAAGTGATCTAAGGATTGTTTTAATAGGACCGGAATTAGATGTCGAGAAAGAAAATATTAACACTTGCTCTGCATGCAATATTAAATATCTAAAATTAAGTTTCGAAACACATTCTATGTTGTATCACCAATATGTGAACAGTCAGTGGTATAAGCAACCAAATCTAATTGTAGCGTTTCAAGCAGATCTTAGCATATGGGGGTCATTGTCGGAATCAATATTCAAATTACGGGAGCAAAACTGTCCGTTTCTTTTAACCGCCAAATCAAAACTTAAAGCTGACGAGAACATAAATAAAATAGAAGAAATTCTAAGTTCACCTTTAAATTTTATATATCATGACAGCAATAAATTTAGTTCCTACAAACCGTACAGAGACTATACAGAGAACGGTGGTGTGTCTCACCGTAATAAATATTTGTCTATCTTCTTAAATTTACATTTGTTGTTATCCTAAAAAATAATGTTTCTGTAGGATTGTAATGTGTCTTTCGTAACGACAATGCGAATGAAATAAAAGATTACGTATACTTGTTAAGCAATGTACAAGTTGCTTTAAAGGATATATTAGAAATGTTTGCAATAAATAACATGTTTTAAAATAATTGAAGTTAAATTTTTCTTCACCCCAACGCAATTGAACGCGCTGATAGAAAATGTTTTAAGGTCGAGACGTGTTTCGATCATGTGTATTGTCGTCTGACGCCGAATATTCATAGCTCGTCACATCTTCAGATTCAAATTAGTTTGTATCAACAACTCCGGTGACACCTCGAAAAACTTGTAAATAGCTTCTCAGCATGCTCCGAACAATCGATAAGTATACATCTCAAGTGTTCGCAGAGAATTTAGTTATTTCTGTAAAGATATTATGTGATATTATTGTCGCTTCTACACGTTATTTTTACTTTACATTACGCAAAAAACATATCAGCAATAATCAATTCCATCTAAATATCAATATGTTCGTATCGTATTTACCGGAGGCAACAGACGAATATTTCGTCTCTCGTTGTAATAATTTTTTCTGTCCGTATGTTTGTCATGTTTGCAAGAGAATGTTATTATAAATCTGACATGTGATCAATGTAAAATGATCTCTTACTGCGGCGAGAAGCACAGACAGATGCATTATACACATCATATGGAATTCTGCGCAGTCATACAAAAGTTTTTAAAAAGTTACCCTTACTTTTGAGCCACTTTAGAACTAAACCTAGAGGACTGGATCCAATCGAGGAAAGAACTGGTACATTTAACCAAGCAAGAATTATCACGTGCTCTAAAGCCATATGAAGAACAAATGATCACGTTGGCGAAATCGTGTAATATTTGTCGTCGACAAGAGGATCTCATTTCTTGTTGGCGGTGTTTTTCGGCCAACTACTGTCCTCATCATATAGACGATATTCAAAAACACAATTGCCAAGAACTACGTTTATGTTATCATATTGATTATAGCACAACATTCTCTTTAGAAAAACTGGAGTGTTTTGTTTCCTTTTGCTTTTGTTTCCTAAGCAAGATGAAACTATTTTTTATATGGAATCATTTATTGTAAAGTATTTATCAAACAAATCGAAATATTTATGGGGAAAGTTTGGGTGGTTTTCCTCATTTCTATTCTGATTTTATATCAGGACCATTGACACTGTATTACGGTATGCAAAATGTAAAATCAATGAATCTTCTGCGCCTACGCAATCGCTATTGCATTATTCATATAATAGCTGCAAACTATATTGATAAAAAATATTTACTAGCTTTTTTTTGTACCTTTGTCCCGTGATAAATGATTTAAGAATTGTTTTAATAGGACCGGAATTAGATGTCGAGAAAGAAAATATTAACACTTGCTCTGCATGCAATATTAAATATCTAAAATTAAGTTTCGAAACACATTCTATGTTATATCACCAATATGTGGATAGTCAGTGGTATAAGCAACTAAATCTAATTGTAGCGTTTCAAGCAGATCTTAGCACATGGGGGTCATTGGCGGTCATTTGCAATGTTCAAATTACGGGAGCAAGACTGTCCGTTTCTTTTAACCGCCAAATCAAAACTCAAAGCCGACGAGAACATAAATAAAATAGAAGGAATTCTAAGTTCATCTTTAAGTTTTATATATCATGACAACAATAAATTTGGTTCCTATAAACCGTACAGAGACTATACAGAGAACGGCGGCGTATTAAATATTTGTCTATCTTTTTGAATTTATATAATCTGTTATTACCTTGAAAAGTGAAGTTCCTGTATAGGATTGTAATATATCTTTCGTAACGACAGTGCGAATGAAATAAAAGATTACGTATACTTGTTAAGCAATATACAAGTTGCCCTCAAGGATATATTAGAAATGTTTTCAATAAAGAATGTGTTTTGGAAGAATAGGAGTTATATTTTTTCACAACCACGCAGTTAAACACGCGAATACAAATTGTTTTAATATCAAGACGTGTTTCAATCATGTTCTGTCGTCATCTATTGGATAATTAGTTTAAAAATTCCAAATCGGTTTTTTCTCGATATTATTGATAATGAGTACTCATAACTCGTTATATCCTCAGATAGAAATTAGTTTGTGTCAACAGTTCGGGAGACGAGTAGAAATGTTTGTAAATAGCTTTTCCGTATGCTTTGTACGTTCGACAAGTATATGTTGCAAGCGCGCGCAGAAAATTTCGTTATGTCTGCAAGGATACCGCACGTTATTTCTACATTGTTATTACAGATATATCAGCAATCATCCCACCCAAAATATCGGCATATCGGCCTTCATCTACACGATCGCACAAATGGCAAATCGTTTTCTAGCCCCGCTCTTTCGCGAAGTGTTGATTGCACTTTCGATTCCGTTATCGTTATAATAACGATATTGTTCGAATATTTTTTCGGTGCTTATTTTCCGCCACTCAAATCTTTTCTCATACGACTTAAAGGATGTCGTCGCACTCGCGTCCACCTTGTGACACTGTCGAAGTAAAAATGTTTGGTGGAATGCGATCGAAGGAGATCGTACGGAATCGATACAAAGCGCTGTACATACAAGGAGAGTATCGAGAGACCACGAGGGATGGACAAGGCACGCAGGCGTGCTATCAATTAATTAAACTCCCGGGCGATATCCTTGTGCCTTCTCCGGCGACTAACTACCGCACGACTGAACGTGTCCACACGGAGCATCCGGCGTATCGTGCCAGGTGCTCTTTACAGTGGCGGTGGAAGTCGAGGGTGGAGGGTGCAGCAATAAGATACGGCACAGGTGAGAGAAGGAGAACGGCGGCGACGGCAGAAAAGAGGACGGGACGAAATGTCAGGAATGTCGCGTAGGCTCCTCGGTGACCACAACAAAGGAGCACGCACGCGTTTACGTCTCTTCTGCCTTTCGCCGCTAATTACGTCCTTGCTACCTGTATCCCGTCCGTCTGGCTTTGTTCGACGTCGCTCGATTACCTCCGGAGCAACCAAGTCTGCGGACACACCGCCGCGCCGCGCCGGTTCGAGATTTCGAAATATGCCTAATCTGCTACATTATACGATACGGAAAGAAAGAAAGGGAAAGAGATCCAGAGAGAAAGAAAGAGAAGAGAGAAGTGTTTCTTAAACATTTTAAGATTAATCCTTAAAAATATAAGATACATGCTAATTAAAACCTTACATACATACGAATATGTAAATATAGGCAGAGAAAGAAAATACGAAAAAAAATAATTTAAAAATATAGACAGAGAAATAAATGTATAAGTAGACGGAGAAAATAAATAATTAAAAAAGAAAGGCAGAAAAAGAAAAGAAATGGGAAAAAGATACTTAAAAAAAAATTTTGTATACAAGATACCTTGTCTACAGTATGCGATTAACGTATCATGCACAGATAATTAGCATATTATTCCGTTAAATAAAATTTCCGAAATCTTGAAAGAGAAAGCGAGAGAGAGAACGCGAAGTTGCGTGTTATTCCCACTGCACACACACTGGAAAAGAAAATCTATATTTTTTTGTTCCAAAGCGGCAAAGCGGCGGTAGCAGCTCATCCACACAGGTTATCAGTATCAGCAACATTGCGTTAACATTGCACACACACACATACACGCACACTATGCAGCAACATCCAGTCACAAGTACCAAACATCCCCCTCCCGGCCGGCAGCTTGCTCAAAGATTGGCACGTGCAGAGGTGCGAATGCGACACATCGATGCAATTAAAATTCATCCGGTGGTCCCAATGGGATTTCGTCACATCCCGGTGCCGGTATGCGCCGAGGGTTATTCGAGGGAGATTCCGCCGAGAACACAATAAATTTGTCTCTCTCTTCCTCTCCCTCTCTCCATCCCCGCCACCTGCCTCCTACCACGGTCGTGGCATTTCCCTCCTCCCTCCCGCCGCGTCTCCCTCCGTTCCATCCCTTTCCGCGCGCTCATACTACTCCTCCTCTGCGTCTCGAATCGCGTGACGAGGCCTCGCTGCCCGACTGACCGTCCTCGGCGCCTCTTATACCTTTACTCCGGTTTGCGCGTTCTTCAGGAACGTACGTGCCCGCCACGTTCCGCTCGGTGAGAACGCGACACATACCCCCCTTCTGTGCGAAGTAGCCCACGTAAAGCCGCGGGAAACTACCTCGAGACGGTCGTCGCCGTCGCCGTCGCCGTCGTCGTCTGTGGGCCAACGTCGCGGTGGTGCAACGTGCGAAGTAACGTCTCTCTCCTCTCGCGAGCTGGAAACTAGCTCTGCCGCTTCTCGCGATTCAATCAATCGTGTTCGCCGAGATCTCCGTTTGCCGGCTCGCGCGCTTTCGCCCCGCTACACTTGAGCGGAGAGAGTTCAGGCTGCAGTGATATGGCACAGCTGATCAGCGTCAAGCTGTCCAGGTTCGACGGCTCCCCATGGGGCTTCCGTCTGCAGGGTGGCAAGGATTTCGGCACGCCGCTCATCGTGCAGAAGGTGAGTCCCTCCGCGCCGCCTCAGCGTCAATTCTGTCTCCACGCCGCGAGATCTTCCGGTAATGTTATCCGTTTATCTCCGGCGACTTTATTCGTTTCGATAAGAATTCGGCAGGTTCGCGAACACGCGCGGTTCCTCCGCGCGAACTTTCGAATTTCCCCTCGAGAACGGCGTTATCGCTCTCTCGTCAACGTTTCATCTATCGATGTAAAGTAGTAGTGTTTCAATCGTGCCTTTCCCGAAAATATCAGCGCGCGATCTGTCTTGGAGAAATCGTCCTGTCAGCTCCAGCGGAAACGGCACGTGACGGCGGCGAGCGTCCTTAAAAGTTTTCACAACGTCCTCGCACGTCCGAAACGTTATTGTCATCGCACAGATTTCGTGTAAGCACAACTTGTCGGCCCAAATACGCACAGTAATAGATAAATTTATCGCCTCGCGTTATCGAGAACGCGTATCGCGGCAAATTCCTCGCACATGACACTTCCGCCCGGAACAGTCGCCTCCGCAAATCTCCATTTTCGCCGACTCGTAAAATCGCCGCCGAAGAATCAAGCGGTTCAACGACTGCCCATGGCCACCTCGGAGTGTTTTAATGTAAAAAAAAGAAGAAACTATGGCGCTAGAGGAATACTCGGGGAATTGCCTCGCGCATCGGTCGTGAAATGAGGCTATTCATTGTCGCGATAAATAGACTGCGCTCGCGCGATTTCCAACGCGTGGCGGCGGCAGGCGGCAGGTGCCTCGTTTATCAAATAACGCCGCGCGGAAATACGTCGTGACGGCGAGACCGAGACTCTCGAAATGTGCATTCTCGTCTCGATAATGAGCTCAGCCGATATGGACAATTCTTTCTGTCTCTCTAATGACTTTGTTGGAATTCCTTAACGACTCTCCGCGTCATTTCCTCTGAATGCAAGATTCGGCAGCCTATTCTAAACGCTAGATACACTTTCCCGATTCCCAAAAGCCGAATAAACGTCACACGTGACGCTCGTGCGAGAAGAATGAAATCTGGGATCATGAGGACGTACTTATAACGTGCCCACAAGCGTCTGGAAAAAAGGGGCCCCCAGAATTTGTCGATTCAAGAGTATCGTAGAAGAGCGGAGGCTCGATCTGAAGGAGCGCTTTCAGAGAGGCGCTCGAGGCGGATCTTGGGTTGACTGAGGCGGAGAAACGGTAGTAAAAATATTTCTTGCGGCCGTTTATATATAGCGATGTTTTATATGGCTATTTTCATCTACGGTTCCTAGCCGTACGCTTCCACGACGCCTCTCTCGATAGTCGAACAGTTCGACAGAGAGAACGAATAGCGCGATATCATGACGGTGAAATTGTCACGAGACTCGTTTCAATCCGCTCGATTACCTTGTCGCTCGCATCTTCCGGTCGCGTGCCAATCACGGGAGGCCAATCAATTGTCGCAACTAATCGAACGGAATGAATTTTCATTGAGCACGAGAGTCAATCGGTATTCTCCTCTCGTCTGACAGTCGTCGACGCAACAAAAATGTTTCGCGGTTGCAAATGCGTGACGATCTCCTGTTATTCAAATTTCATGAAAATCTCTCTCTCTCTCTCTCTTCCCTCTCGAACTAGTGACCGCAGAGTTTACATGTGTATTTGTATCCAAGTTGCTCGTTATATCGACATGTGTGAACGACACAACTTGAGCCCACGGATCTGGGCTACGCGGAAGCGGATAACGATAACGAGCTCCGAGCAAGAGTGAGATGAAAGTGAAACGCAAACGAGATCCCGCAGCTCGTCCTCGGAAATGAAATCTATATCAAAGGCTGAAGTTGATACTCGACACACACACGGAGAGAAAAAGAGAGAGAGAGAGAGAGAGAGAGAACGCGCACGTGCCAGTCTCTTTCGCAATGTACAAATCTAAGCGCCAAAATTACTAGCTAAGGAAAAAACGGCTAGTAGGAAGATTGAGGTCTCTTCTTATTTTATGCACAGTAAAATATCTGTTAAATACAAAAAATATAAATGCATCGCGTAATATTATATCTCAAAAGCGATCCGAATATATCCGACACCAAAAAATGCAAAATCAGAACAGCTGTCTGAAGTTTCGATGACGATTTCTAAATTTAAAAAAAATGAGTGATATTCGTCTTGAAAAAGAAAAGAGGATAAATTCCAAAGGCCGAATAATCGAAATTGAACTTACTGAAAAACTAATTATTATCATCGCCTTTCCTCCGATTTATCCTTCGCTCTTCATTTCGTGTTATCGACATTTCAACCGAACCGAGACGAAAGGTTTTTCAAGAGTTTTCCAAATTCTGGCCTGAGACAGGCGGGAGAGAAAACATCTCAACGAAATATGAAGCTTTCCTCGCGATATGAATGCCATTTCCTCGTCGCTTTTCACAACGGCCGAGCAGCAGCGGCCATGGGCGGGCCACGAGCGGGCATGTTTTGTTATTACGATTTATAAAGACGCAACTGGGCTTACATAAGCCGGTGGCAAACGCCAAATTATTTCACGCGCATCGGCAGAAAACGTTGCCAACTACGTGCGAAACGCCCAACTCACCGCAGCCATCGCCATCGCCTCCACCGCCTCCGCCTCCGCCGCCGCCACCGTCGCCGCCGTCGTCGTCGCCGTATTTTGGCGATGCTTGACGCTGTAACACGAGAAGCTTTTGGCGAACGAAGAGAGAGAGCGAGAGAGCGAGAGCGAGCGAGCGAGAGAGAAAGAGAGAGAGAGAGAGAGAGAGAGCAAGAGCGAGCGAGATGTCCCGCGCGATTTTTCTTCGCGCTTTCTTCGTGTGCCTCGCGTTCGCAAACAAGCGCGTACGTGCGATTACGTGTCATTATAAAGGCATAAACTATTAAAAGACGCACGTCGTCAGCGAGTGCCAATGTCGTCGTGCGGCGACGGCGACATTGCGCGAAACTGTCACAAAATTCGCGTAATGTTGTCCCGAAGTCGCACGTAATTCTCCGCGCGAACATTCCGTCGTCGATGACAACGGGAAACGTGTCGTCACGGCTGTCCCGTCTGTTGCTTTCACGCTCTCAAAAGTTCGAATTATTATTCGAGTTATCTTTCTTGGGCCACGTCTCGTGTTAACGCAATGTTTACTTTACGAATATATATGTCTGATACTTATATTTATTTTCAAGAAAAGGTCATGAGAGAGAGAGAGAGAGAGAGAGAGAGAGAGAGAGAGAGAGATGCGTCTCTAACGTACACAGAAGTGTCTCTCCTAAAGATCTCCACAAAAATAGACGCTATTTTTCCTACGTTTGGAAAACTAGAAATTCCCGTCGCGACCATCTTTCGAGGCTGGTGACGTCAGAAGCGAGATAATATCCAGGCATCCCGAATCTCTGCGAAGTACGTGCGGCGAGAAATAAATGTAGGCGAGATATGACATTTGCGACCGACTGAGCGATTTTGCAAAATGCTCCGAAAACTGTTTCGAGAGCACGTACTTTCTCATTTCTCACATTTGGCACTTTCTCACTGCTGGCATCACCAAAAGAAAGAGTGACGCGACTTTCGATTATATCTGAATGTGGCGACACAGGATTTTCCGTGCATTTTCGAGCGTACGTTGCGCATCGACTCACTCTCCGCGAAACGCGTTTAAATGGAAGGCCATTGCAGTTCGAATATCAAAGACGACAGATTCCTTCTCGGGTTTCCTTGGATTCTCATGGCGTTCTCCGATGATTTCGCGAATCTTAATCGCGAGACGTCTCGATAAGACGCGCAAAAGTTGCGTCGAAACTATTTTAAACAATCGGAATTATTCGGGAGGAGAAGGAGGCGAACAGAATTCGGATAATTTTCTTTAAATGTCGGAAAAACGCGAGTGCGGACTTCGCTATCGAGTCATCCGAGTCTCTGCGAACGAGTCGGAGGATCGGAGAGACGATCGGAGAGTCTTTCAGTGAGGAAAGGTCGTGAGGAGGGCGTTTTGACACTGTCGGACTCATATTTCTCTCCTTTCTGAGAAAGCCGGGGGCGGCCGGACGCCGTATTTGCGACCTCGTAAAATAAACGGAGCACGTGGTGCTACGAAGAAGGCCAAGTTCGAAGCGCCGATTGCGGATAAGCTGTCCAGCAGCCGTCGGCGAAGCCGTGGGACCCGCCTGTACCCTTTAACCTCGCGGACTTTTAACCGGGCGTGTATTGTCCTCTCGAGCTGTCGATGAAAGATTGTCAACTGACAGCACGACGAGCCGCAATACAAAGAGAAATATTTATGCTGCCGTCATCAAAGTTCCCAGAGGATTTGTGCAATCTGTCGTCGACGATAAAAACGTACGATAAAAATGAGAGATTAGTAAAAAATTAATAAAAGATTAATGGAAGATCAAGCAACTGTTAATAAAGAATCAATAAGAGATTTATTCAAGCGAGAAGAAACGAGCTGGCGATGAGTCATTTTTTCCTCCGATATTTTCAACATGGATTCGGTTTCGTGAAAGAGATATTTCGCATCTGAAGCATTACTGCTCGCGCGGTGGCACTCTCTAGCGCGAAATAAATAATTTTATTTGAGATTACGCAGCGCATGCCTCATGCTAAATCTAAAAGATACCTGGACTTGAATCGTGCGTGAACTTTGTGCGACAGACTGGAGATTTAAAAATCAGGAAAGTGCGCGCACGGAGGAAATGAGCAATGTCCGATAGCAAGCGAGCGGGCGAGAGAGAGAGAGAGAGAGAGGGGGGAGGGAGAGAGAGAGAGAGAGAGAGAGAGAGAGAGAGAGAGAGAGAGAGAGAGAGAGAGAGAGAGAGAGATCCGGCGGCGTCGCTGGTAATCCGAGGCAAATTATTTGGGCGTTCTATTTCTAGAAGGTGCCTTTGCGAAACCCGCGAGCCGGGTTGGGCCTCGCTCGCGAGACGACGGAGGCGCCGATTCCGACGACGACGAAGACGAAGACTAAGACGACGAAGACGACGGAGACGTCGTCCCGTTCGGACGCATTCGACGGATAAATAATGCGCGGTCGCGGACATCTGCT